CTTTGAAAGTTTCTGGTGAAGAGCAAATTTCAGTTGCAGATGTTGAAAAATCAGCTGAGGAGGTTTTGAAGGTTGCTGGTGAAGAACAAACTGCAGTTACAGATGTGGGAAAATCATCTGAAGAGGCTTTGAAAGTTGCTGGTGAAGAACAAACTGCGTTTGCAGATGTTGAAAAATCATCGGAGGAGGCTTTGAAAGTTGTTGGTGAAGAACAAACAGCAATTTCAGGTGTGGAAAAATCACCTGAGGAGGTATTGAAAGCTGCTGGTGAGGAACAAACTGCAGATGCAGAAAAATCACCTGAAGAGGCTTTGAAAGTTGCAGTTGAAGATGTAGAAACAATAGCAAAGGAACCAATTAAAGTTGTTGATGATGAACAAGCAGCTGCTGCAGATGTCAATAAAGCTTCTAAAGATGAAACTGTAGCTGAAACAGGGATAAAAATAACAGAGATTTCTACTACAGAAACTGTGGTGAATGCAGGAACTGCAATTCCGGAATCAGAAAAACCTACTGGAGAAGACTTGAAAGTTACATCTGAGGAGACTGCAAAGGAGCGAACTGTCACATCTGAGGAGACTGCAAATGAGCCAACAGAGGCAAAATTAGAGGTTGGGGAAACTGTAACAGAATCTGCACAGAAATTGGAGAAAACATCCGAAAGTAATACTTCTGTTGCAGTGGTTTCATCCATTAATGAAGAAAAGACTGATGGTGCCAACTCAATGGCACCAGCTGGTCCTCCACCACAGCAACAGCCCAGACCAGGCATGGTCAGGCCTCCTGGCCCACCAGGACAAGCAATGGGGCCACCAAGAATGGGAGGGCCACGAATGGGACCCCCAAGAATGGCTGGTCCAAGAATGGCCGGTCCAAGAATGGCCGGTCCAAGACAGCCAAGACCACAGAAGGCCCCGGAACCAGCTCCATTTTCTGGCTTTATGTCTATGTTTTCTACTCCAAGCGCGCAAACTAAAGCACCAACTGTTGGCGGATTTTTTTCAAGTTCACCTGGTTCACTGTTTGGATCATCACCTGCTCCTCGTCAGCCACAGCAGCAACAACAACAACAGAAAAGCTCATTTTTTGGCCTTCCAAGCAGCATTGGTACAGAATCTCTTACCAGTGACCTATTGGGTATGTTTAAAGGTCCTGAGACAACAAAACCTGAGGAACCTCAACAGTCTGCCACAGAGTCTGAACACGGGGATCCTGCTGCAAATGTGACAGAATCTGAAAACACAGAAAAGACAAGAACAGAGTCTATAGGTGAAGATGGACATGTGAAAAGCACTGAGGATGCTGAAATTCCAGAGAAGGGTTTAGTGGAAGAGGCAGAACGAAAAGACAAAACAGAGGCAGAAGAAAATTCTCTCACTGAATCTACAGTAAAGAAAGAAGCAGAGGATGATGAACACGCTCAGCATTCAGAAGGTCCAGCTACTGCAGTGTCCGACAATGCTGCACCAGAAACTAAGGGCATATTTGACATACCAGGTCTATCCACACCTAAATTTGGTTTTATGTCTGTAGCTGCTGAAGGCACATCAACTCTTGGATCCCTCTTCTCCACCTCAACATCTCCAGCTCCTGCCGCAAAGACACCACAACTACAGCAGACAGACGGTGGGCTCTTTTCTGGTTTTAAAACCCTTTCAGCTGGTATTTTCCAGGATGAAAAGTCAACTGGAAAGGAGGAAACACCTGCCCCGTCTGTGTTTGGCATGAAACTCAGCTCAATGTTTAGCACCTCCGACTCTCCCGATTCCACCCCTCCTGTGGTCGCAGCCCAACCTCAGTCCGAAAGTCCAAAACCTACTGATGAAGTTTGTGAGCCGGAATCTGACAAACCTTCACCGGGTTCTGGAGATACTGGAAGTGCAGATGCCAGTGATACAGAAGGACCAACTGAAACTTCAAGAACGGGCAGCTGCGATAGCTTAGCACAGTCGCCGCTGTCCGGCCTCCCTTCCAAATCAGTTTCCAGAACAGAGAGTTTAGATAAACCTCAAGTAACGATCACCACATGTGAGTTAGATAAGAGCGAAGCGCCTGACACCGTGCATGCAGATTTGGGAACGAAACAACCAAAGGATCTATTGACAAAGGAAGCCGCGAAAAGGCTAGTATAATTTATATGATAAATGTCACTGCTCATTTATCATGCTAGTGTAGATAAATGTTTAGCATCTTTCCTGCTCCTCCTTTCCCATTGTTTCCTCAATTTCCAGAATTTGTTTAGATTCATTTGGACCCTTTTATTCCTTTCGTACGCTGCAGCTTTACATTTCAAGATATATTTCATATTTGTGCATTTTTAGACTTATTTGACAAAAGGAACTTTCTGTTTAGAATACAGGGCTGGGCGATAAAGAGGAGAAGTTTATCACAATAAAATGGCTTGCTTAAGTCGATTTGGATTGTTTACTCGTAGATTTTTAATGTAAATGGAAACTGAGAGAAACATAAAAGTAGGTTTAATTCATGTTTGGCCACCTCACTTTGAATTTAACTTCTTAAGCCCAAGTATCAAGGTACACAGGTCTACATGTCTAACAATAACTAGTAATCATAATAAATTATAATAAACAAATTGTAGGTTCTCATAACTGAGAAATGTGTCAAAATACAATGTTTATTTCCAGTCTGTACTGATAATTATTGATTATTTTTAATGACCTATTGTCAACAAAGACAGAGAGAAATAGAAAAAGACGATTTAATTCCAGTTTAACCACCTTATTTTGAATTTATCTACTTTAGCCTATTTATCAAGGTACATGGGTACTATCTTTAATGTTAATGCAACAATAAAAAGCTGCACACAGCACTGTTTGAGGCTTCTAGATTTTAACCAAAGTTTACATGACATGATTAGCAACTTCTTCTGGGAAAACGATCTTATTCGGGCTGGAAGTTTTAGCTGAAAAATCATCATATAATTACTTTCAGTCAATATTGATGTTTTAATTAAATGCAAGCAAAAAGAAGGTTTAATTTGATTTTAATCATTTGGACCTATTTTGAAGGTACTCAGGTAATAATTTTAACAGAACAGTGACAATGCAAAGAAATACGAATAAAAGAAAAAAAAATGGAGTGATCTTTTTTAACTAAACACTGCATAGAATAAACAGTAAATCTGACTTTTCATTATCAGACCACAGCAAGAGAAAATGATCACCTGTCATTTAGCATTAAGTGTAAATGTAGTGGAGTTATTTTGTACTTACACCGCCTCAGTAATAGCTTCCCTGACAGTGATGGAAGCACAATGAATGAGGAAAGCGACGCTTTCTTATTTATTAGCTTTTCACTTGTGGGCCGGTTCTAGAGCTCCTCCTCGCCGCCTCCCTCCCTCCCCTGCATTCCTCTGAATTATTTCCAAGTCTCGGCCAATTTGTTTATATGAATCACACTCTGATAGATTGACGATGGCGTGGCAGTGCGCGGCCGCCGAGGCCGGCTGGACGCTGGAATAAAAGCAGCAGTGAGAAGTAATTTGGCCTAAAACCAAGGCAAAGTAAATCAAGCCAGTTAAAGCACAGAGCCACTTTCCTTGTTTTAAGAGTCTCCATCATCCAGCAGCCGCACACTTCTTTCTTTCTGAGTCACTGACTTGTGCTTTCTATCAGGTAGGTTCAGCACGTCGAATTTTTTAACCTTTTAGTTTAAATGTTATTAAAAGGTTAAAGAATTCCAAGTATTTAACATTTTACGGCTCTGGTAGAAGCAGTAAAGCAGGCGAATTGCAAAGGTTGTCTCTTTATCTTGCACTCACAGATTCTTTTAAAATGTGAATAACTTTAATTATTCATGCATTTCTGAGACAGCTGTTAATCTGCCAGTCCTGATTTCAGTCTTCTCCTGACATTATTGTGAACAAATCCTGTCTTTAACTTACCCTACTGAACCCTGTTAGTGTTCCTTGTTTTGTGATGTCTTCTTCTATAGATGTTGTGATTGTGAGTTTGCTTTAAGCCCTTATTAACCACGAATTAACCTTCTGAACCCCAAGCATTATGTTGCTCCTGTTGCGTTTTTCCTCACTGTGGGCTCATTTTTCATTGCAGTATAAAATCCTGCACCTCTACGGAAACAGCACAACCATGGAAATGTGTTTTGTGCAGCATGTCAAAGTTATAATGTCATAAAACTGGAAAAAGAACAATCAAAAGTTTGTTTTTTTGAATATTTTTTTTTACAAATATTGAACAAAAACTGGGTTCAAGACACACAGCATTCGTCTCAATGCACTCAGGTGTTGGGGATGTTGGAAAAATGATGGCTCTACATCCTGTAAACATTTTACTGATGGCCTTTCTTATTTGTTTCCATATTATCTGCTCTGTGTAAACACAGTCTGCAGTTCAGCTAAAAAATTGCAGAATTTCTGTTTTTCTTGCAACTGAGTCACACATGGCTTCTCAGTTCCACAGAGAAGTGCAGGATTTTTATTTTTTTAAAATTAGTTTTAAATTTTTATTTTTGACAGTTTTTTAAAATGTGAAACTAAGTAAAATTGATGAAATATCAAGATTTGCTTCCCGACAGAACTAAAAAAATCACACATTGCTCGTTCAAGAGCTGTCAGAAAGTTGAATAATCCAGCAATTCTTTCTGTTTTTTCGGTTTCTGGCTCTGATAAAAGGTGTCATTTTGGTCGTTTTAAAAAAGATAACATGTCTTTGGAACAGTCTGTCTGGGTTCGGGGTTCAGAGGCTTAAGAACTGAGTTGAGCTGCACCGAAATGAAACGTTTAATTCCAAAATCAAGGCTTGCCATTCACAGTTGTCAATCTGTTTCTGACTCAAAGCAAAGTGAAATCTATGATCTGTCATCATTTTCTTCCTATCTGTGATTTGCAAAGACACATGAAGTGGCAGTTTTCTAAACTGAATTTTGGAATTAAACTTTTACATTCTGCAGTAGTTATTTTGCCACGTGATTATTTCCCAGGTCACAACAGTATTCTAAATGATAATCCCATCGCTCCACAGTCCGCCTGACAGCAGCCACTTCGACTCATCGGGCAACCTGAGCCCGGTCAGCTCCCAGCTCAGCTCCGAGCCCGAAGAGCGCCGACACCCTGAGTCCTGCCACCCAGCCGACGCTCGCCCACCTCTCCACAGCCAGCCGTCCACCTGGAATGAGGAAGAAGAAGAGGAGGAGGCTGAGAAGGAGCTCCATGCCCTACCAGAGCCCGGTTCCAACAAGGACCTGAAGGACTCCTCAGTCATCCTTCCCAAGCCGGCCTTGGACAGCCATGACAACCGGAATCAGACTAAAATCTGGTATGTGATAGATGTGGGGTTTCGTATTTAAAGTTCAAGAGTTTCAAGCATTGAGCAGATTTTGTGAGCTTAACTGACATAGCAAAAACCGACATTTAACAGAGTTAGATTGTGAAAAGCTTGTAGGGGGGGTTACGTCGTTGTTGCAGCACTGACAACTCATGACATTTGCATCTTGTAGCAGGTTACTGCTGAGTCAGAACAGGTCAGAGAGTAGTGACAAAAAACAACGTCGGCAAATTGTCAACTTCAGGTGTGAGAGAAAAATTAAAGAAAAGTGAGGAACACCGTGAGCATCTCATTCTGAAGCACTAAATAACCTACCAGACCAATTGCACAGTGAGAACATGCAAGTGTGATTCGACCACAGAAGCTTCTTGCCGAATCTTTATTGTGCATGTAAAAAAAATATGGAATAAAACTTCCTTCCGAACAGATGAAAAGAAAAACAAAAGTATAAATTTGCTTAACTGTGATGCACCATCGCATTAGGAAAATCACCACCACAGCTACATGGAAAAGCAACAAAACTGGTGCATGTCTGTGAAGATTCTCAGTCATCCAGGTCATGGTTATTCTCGTAGATTAATCGTAGCAACTGGACTTGCTTGAGGTTCCTTGAAGACGTTCCACCTTCATCCAAGAGGCTTCATCAGTTCTGACTGACTAGTTGGGAGTTCCAGATACTTATATCCTAAAGGAGTCATTAACACCTGAGTTTTGGTTTCAGTTGGGGGTTTGTTGCTCCTCCCCCTCGTTATGTGAGTCGTTAGTGCTCCCCCTGCCACAATAGGGGTTTGTTAGGGTCTTTTGTGGCTCGGTGTGAATGTGGTTTCATCTTCCTGGGGAGAGATCTCAGGACTGAATTGTAAACAGGTGAGAGATGATGCCTCAGACCTCCACCTCTATTAAATGATGGTCTTCCAGTTTGACATAGATGGTTTCTTTCACTCCTCTCTCAAACCGTCTGTCCTCTCTGGCCAAAATCTATACTTTGTTGTCTTCAAATGAGTGTCCTTTGTCCTTGAGATGCAGGTGGACTGCTGAGTCCTGAGGAGGTGGATCGTCTGTGCTGAGCCATGTGCTTGTGGAGCGGTTGTTTAGTCTCCCCGATGTACAGGTCTGGGCATTCCTCCCTGCACTGGACTGCGTACACCACGTTGCTTTGTTTATGTTTCGGTGTCTTGTCCTTAGGGCGAAGCAGTTTCTGTCTCAGGGTGTTTGTGGACTTGAAATGAACTGCAATGTTGTGTTTGTTAAAAATCCTCCTTAGCTTTTCAGAAACTCCTGCAACATAGGGGATGACTTTGTTGTTTTGTGTCTTGGTCTTTTCTTCTCCGTCTCCTCTGGGTTTTGTAGAGGATTTGATGAAAGACCAGCTTGGGTAGCCACAGGTTTTGAGTGCTGTTCCGATGTTTTTTGTTCCTCCTCCTTTCCTGCTGTCCTGGTAGGCACGTTCTGGGCCCGGTGTTGTAGGGTTCTGATGACTCCCAGCTTGTGTTCCAGTGGGTGGTGGGAGTCAAACAGCACATATTGGTCTGTGTGAGTGGGTTTCAAAACTGGTGCATTAGCCAAAGTAGACATTACAGTCAGTAACAAAAAGACTACAAAAATGGCTGCTGCTCATCCAAAAAACTTCAAACTTCATTTCCTCAAGCCCCCTGCAAGTCTGAAAGGATTCAGAGACACACTCATAAAGGTTAAAAACACTTTATTAGTGAATTTGTGACATGGATCTTTAAAGTAACACAAGAGCGCAGCTATAACACACAGAGTTGAGACTTAAATTTAACATTCACATAATTAACACATTTCTGTTATTTACAAGCCAACCCAGTGTTCTCTTGTCTCAAGAGCTGAATATTTTCGACAAATAAAAATCAGTGCAGCAAGAGATAAAAAAGAGCATCTTAAGACGTGAAGCTGGGATCAGGCTGACGTGAGAGGAAGGTTATTTCTCGAGTTCAGGACGGTCAAAGAAGAGTTCTTGAATTCTCCTTCTAAAAGCTCTCTTCTTGATCTTTCTCAGTTTCTTCGAGGATGGCCCTCCACCGTGTTCTCCATCCAAAGTTCGCTGGCTGAAAGCTTACAACAAAGTGAGGGTGAAGCTACTCGAGGTAGGAAACATCACTTTTACTGCTCTCTACATCTTCCCTCTCTTTATCTGTTTCTGTCTTCTGCACTCATGAACAATTAGATGCACACTCATGATCATCTCACATACATTTCACCAGAAAACACGTATGCATCTGTTGATTCAGTGGAAGTTCAGTCCTCGAGTAAAACACCAAACATCAATGCAGACAGGCACATTGTTATCGCTCCTTCTCTTCCTCTCTTTCATGTTCTTTCTCTACCTCTTTCCTCCCCCTCCCACCATGAGTTGGTTGAGTTTCCAGTCATGCCACAGCAATTTGCACCAATTTCGTGCTCTTTAAGGATTTCCGCTTTGATCTGGAAAAGCTCTTTTCAGCGTCGGCTCCTTCAGATCTGGCTATCACTCTGCCGCAACAGAAACTTCTTCCTAAAGCGATTGCTCACATCCAGTTGACTGTCTGAGTATTGCGTAATGTCACAGTTACATGTGGCCTGTCTGTTGGGCTTTTTTTTTTTTTTTTATTATTTCCCTCGTGGTGTGAACTCATTACAAAAGCATTGTGTGTGTGTTGTCATGAAATATTTACTATGGCTAAAGGTAGCCACCTTCGCCCACCTTGCCTCGAGCCATCGCTTTCTAACAGACCCCAGAGAAGAGATTTTGTTTTTGGGTTCAGGTCATTTGCACGCGTGATAAAAATACTGGAGGGAGAAAATAAGAATATTCTCAAACTGAACTGATGAGTAAAGCTGAATTTATAGTATATCTGAGAAATGCACAAGGAAAACAAGCAGAGAAATAATTGAAAAAGTGATGCACAATGAAACAAATGCTGTGAATCAGGTGTCTAAACAGTAAGTAAATTAAATAATCGTGTTTCATGTGTGAGTTTGTGTCAGTTTAAGAATAATGAATGGATAAATATTCAGTTGGTGTTGAGGTGCTATTTGCATGGTTGCGGGATTAAACTGTGATGAGTAACGCTGGCCTTTAACTCTTTTGATACTCCCTATCTTCTCAAACTGCACACTGAACTCTTGTATTCTGTGTTATCGTGTGTGTTACAGAGTTCATTGACTTATTTTTGCAGGGTACAAACTCTGCTATTGTTCATTTGCTGCATCTACTGTGTAAAGTGTCCATAATTGGAACTACGGTCATAAAGTCGTAAAGAATGTGGCTGAGATAAAAAAGCAAATTCCATCTCAGGCAGGGACTTATTGAAAACCAGAAGACAGAACTTTGTACGGTTACTTGGATTAACCCTATAGGCTTGATCCAGTGGTATACATTCTGTGGTTGTAAGAATGCAAGAGGTCCGCATGACGTAATTTTTGTCTTCTCCCCAAATCTGTGACGTCAATGTGAAGCTGAAATATTGTGTTTGCATGATGACTTTGCTTCCAGGGCAGTAGTGGACATTCTGTGGTGTGAATGCATAGAATACGTAGACATGATCAACTGCACACGTATGGAAACAGATTCTTCCAAGTGGACCACAAATGTAGTATAACAATAAAAACTACATGTCTGTGTGCATCCGCATGGCTTTCAACCAACTGCACTGAAAATCTGTAATTCTTACCTTTTTCCAGCAACTATGACTGCCACCAAAAAAAAAGATGTTTCCAGTCAACTGGCTAGTTATTGCACATTTGAGATACTAGTTTTGTTATGATGACCAGACCAAATAGCATCTGCTAATACTTGGTACCTTTTTCTTAAACAAAAAATACAACGAATATTGTCGATTAGCTGTAGTACCTCGTTTATCCCACCAGATGGAGCCTTTTCAAGTCTGTGTTGGCAATCAGAGCGCATTATAGGAGTTTAGCTAGTAAAGGAGCACCGTGATGGAGACTTTTATGAAGCTAACTGACCTGAGGACAGCGAATAAGTGTTAAATGAAGCTTGGATGAAGTGACCCAACATCTTAGCGGAACATCAGGTTTTGTTTTTTGTCGTTGTTGACGGCAGGTGTGAAAAGATTCAGGAGTCACTTCAGAATCGCTTAGGATCTGGATGGGACATCCTTCCTGCACTACTTTACAGAAAGATACAAAACCACAACTAAAAATGGGCCTTTAAAGTTTAAATATTACATGCACACAAAAGTAGTTGCAGCAGCACCAACAAAACACATTATTGGTTCTATATTTGCCTTAAAGCTAGCCAGGAGACCAAATAGCGTGTAAATAATCATATTGTGCACCTTGACTTGACAAAGCACAGCCAGTGAGCACCTCATCCTCAGTAAGTTATCATAGAAACTCAAAAAAGACATTCGGTCAATGCATCTCTGCTTTGGTGGATAGTCTTGGTGTCCATGAGGTCTTTTGCAGCCCTGTCTGTCTCTTAACCTGCCCTCTTTGTATTTCTGTTTGAGTTACACATGAGAGCGTGCTGACAACTTTTCTGTGAGTTTGTCACCGTCTTGCGGCCAACGTTTACTTCTGAAATGATCCTGCACTTTAGTATATTGCAGACATCTCTACTTAGCATCCAATAACCCCAGAAACCAGCAGCTTAGACGGAACCCTACCAACAACCAAACATCAACTCTACCATAAGTGACTTGTTGTGTCCAGTGTTTCGTCCACAGATATGAAATGAATCGCCACAATGTTAGTTTACACCCCCCACAATCAGCCACGTTTGATTTCAACACCTAAAGTTACCCAGACTGCTCCTCCTGTTGGCTCCTCTTGGTATAACTGGTTCTGTCTTATTTCTAAATATATTTTAGCTCATGCTCCTTTTTTTTTTTTTGCTTTTTACACTTGAAAATTCCCTCTCATGTCCATTTTTATTTGTGCTTAGAGTCCGTTGAGGTGGGAATTCACACAACACCAGGAATTAAGTCCCAACAGAAACTGGCTGTTGTGTGGATTCATGAAGGCCACGAGCTCAATTCAGTCAGATTACCAATGAATCTGGAGACAAGTGTTGACCAACATCTGCTTTACGAAAGAGTCCTTGAGCAAAAAGTCCCTGTTGCTGTGTTTGACCTACAGGCTGACAGAAGTTTCCTACAGGGACCAATAAACTGATAAATTATTTATGACTCATCTACCAAACATGTCTCCGTTTCGGCTTAGACAACAAAGCTTCTGGTCCGTTCGTCATGAATCACGTCCCTGTTTTTGAACAATCCTTCTCGAGAGGCAATTTCAGGGAACCTCACTCAAGTGGCCACTCTGTTATGAGTGAATCACACGTGTGAAATTTAATTATCACAACTGCAGGAGTATATTTACTCGGAATTAGTGGTTCGTTCTACATGAGTGCTTTCCTTTGCAGGATTTTTATTCATTCTGCTTTTTCACAAACTGCAGAAACAATCAGATTTATGAAAAGCTCCTATTTCATTCAGCCACTTTTTTTGTTTTTGCTGAATAGTTTTTCTTAAATATTTTGTTCATTCTTGCAGAAAAAAAACTATTTTTCCCTCAACATTTCCTCTCTTCAGCGATTAGAAATATAACTTCTTATTATGTCCCATTGTATTCCAGACTTGTCCGAGACATCCTCTGAATAGGTCTTATTTAACATCAGGTCAGTGAAATTAATTAAACCGCGGCGATGCTCATTCAAATCTTTTGTGTCCGTATTAAATTAAAAACAGTAGATCTACTAATTACATCCCACTGTATTCTATATTTAGTTTCATCCAGAGGTTTTTTTTGTAAGTGGTGAAGCAACTCCATCTTTGACCAAATGTGGCTGAGATTTGCAGGTTCTAGTACTTTATTTATCGATGTTCGAGAAGCTGCCAGCACTTAATATTTATACAAACTGTCCCAAAAACTACAGCAGAACGGTTTTAAAGGTATGTAAATGTAAGAAGTTTGTCTAAAACTCCTTATTTGTGTGACCTGAAGAGTCTTCTGTCTTGTGTTTCATTTCTACCCAACTTGTTTGTCCCGACGGGACTAAAAGACTTAAGAGCAGCTCACCTCCTCCGTGCAGGTGAGGATGAATCCTTCAGGCCACTTCAGCGCAGATCTGACGGAATAATTAGTTTCAACAAGAAATCACTTCTTTAAATGCCACCTTTGATCTTTTGGAAAAAAGCCAGAGAGGAACCAGATCTCTCACCTTTCATCAGCGGCTACGTAAACACTCTGCTGCCGCCGGTTGGTGCTCATTAAGCTGCTGATTAAATGTAGCCTATCAAAGTGATGTGATTTCAGTCGCGAGTTCTGTTTGATAAAGAAGAACGGCAATAATCAGACACCAGAGAAGAGATACGACTGTTGTTTAATGGGCTGCAACAGTCTACATGGTAAAATACAGCCACTGGTGTCATCTAGACATGTAGAAATTCTCTTTATTGAGTTTCATTCAGACTTATTTGTCTGTTAACCTTGAAATCGCCAAGTCAGGAGTTACTGCCATCTGCATTAATGTGAGTCAAGCCAGTAGTTTAACTTTACACTCATTTAAAAATGACCACAGATGTGATTTTAAGTATATTTTATAATTTGATGTTGTGCATATTATCCAGAATATGTGGTATCACCTTCAGCACAAAAGTCAGACTGCCTTCCAAAAATCGCACCCCTATACAACTAAATTGCATTTTAATTCATGTTTTATAAAAGAAAAACAAACTGTGCAGTAGAAGGAAAGGCCATGAAGAGCAAAGTTTGGAGTTAACATTTACATGATTTAGAATCAGAATCAGGAATAGTTTATTGATCCCTGTGGGGAAATTGGTTAAGTTACAGTTCCTCCCATTCAAAGTGAGAAATATAAACAGTACAAAATATATAGATAGACATGAGTAGAAAATATGAGCAAAAAATACAAACGTAAGTGGAAAATATGAGCAAAAAATATAAACATAACTAGAAAGATATGTCCTATGTAAGTAGAAATGTCCTTTATAAGTAGAAAAAAATAGTAGAAATAAATGTAAAATGTGTTTTTCCTAAGAAATTAAACTGTAATAAACAATGTATTACATAGTGTGTTACTGCACAGAGGTAATAAATAGTATGTTATTGCAAATAGATG